TGTGGCATGCCGCGCAGGCAGCACGCATGCCAAAGCATAATCAAAAGCTAGATTGCGACGGGGAGCGACTCATCATGGTCATGCGCTGCCCGGGGCGCGCGTTTCGCGCTGCTGCACTCGCACGCAAAGGGCCCAAGTGGAACCCACCTAACTGGCTTCATGGGGGGCTCAGGAGGTGCAGGCGCGAGTCGGCCATGGGCGTGCAACTTGTAGGATCGTACAGGATGCAGGCAGCTGGCATCACACACATGCTCAGGTGCCATGATGCTACGAACGCGTACTACGCCATTAAGCACGACATCCTACTCGACAATGCACACGCATGTTATGCACCTACTGATAGGAAGCTCATCATGGATAGGATTCGGCACAACACGTTCCTGTTAGAGGACGAGAGCGGCTTGTTCTGGCAGCAGCAGGCGCAGTCTGGCCTCTTTCCAGGCGACACAGGAGCCACGCAGTTATTTTGCATGAGCTACTCGGACCCAATTATGGAGAAGGTAGCCGATTGCGCAGTTCTCAAAGGATGGTACCCGCATGTGGAAGCAGCCAGGCCGCGGCAACATGACTATCCAGAGCAGATCGCCCTCACGGGCTACGTAGATGATTTAGCCAACAAGGTATTGGAGGGCGGGAAGGGGGACATGGGGGAGACCATCAGGAGGGGAAGCGAGGAGGAGAACAAGTCCATAGATGAGGGGCTGGGGGTCGTGGGAGCGGGACAGAACATTGCGAAGCAGGAGAATGTATGCTACTTTCGAGGCAGAGGTGCCCACGCTCCCCAGAGGCGCCTGTGCGCTGGCGAGGCCGCAGGTATTGCAGGCAAGACCAGGCACCACGTCAGGTATCTCGGAGGCCTACAGCCGGCCACATTCACTCCTGGACCCGAACTAAGAAAACGCCTGGACGCGGTAAAAGCCTCATACCACTCCATGGGAAAGTTCGGGTTCAGCAACTTCCCGTTCTCGGTCAAACGCACGATGGTCAAGGGGCTGCTCTAGCGCGGCCATCTCGGGGCTAGAAGTAGCGGTGCGCGGGTCGGGCCCACTCAGAGAAGCCGATCTCAGACATCTCCAGAGTTTCATCCTGAAGAAGCGCAGAGCCATCCTCCACGGGACCGCCAAGTGGGGGGAGGGAGGAGGACACGTCAAGACGATCAAGCATGAAGAGGTGATGAGGGAGATCAGGTTTGCCCCGCTGTTTTTGGAACTCCGGATCCGACGAATCAAGTGGTTGCAGAAGCTCGTGGAGATGAAAGAGGACAACTCCCAGCTTTTATCGGCAGTATTTGGCCCGACCAAGTTTGATGGGCCCGTCTTTGTAGATGGGCGAGTTCCAGAGCGAGCTAATCCTCGGGCTCGACAAGCCCAGCAAGATCTTGACGCGCTCACGGCCACGGAGTCGGGAGCCAGCCTTCACGAATAGCAGAGTACTTTCGACTTTCTTTTCACGGACTGTCACGAGTATGTGAGGCTCGACGTTGACGAGCTCCGCGCAAGGTTGTTTCTTCTTACTTCTGCCGCCGACGAGCTTGCTCAGGCCTGCGACTCTGGAGGCGAGTACAGATGAATGGAGACCAAAGAGGATGGCGCAACATGTGGCACTACATGGCCCACAAAAAGAGCAGTTGTACGCACATATCGCAGCGGCGTCTGGGGGCAGCCACGGCAAAGCACAGATCGGCAAATTAATAGCGACGCCCAATCAATGTATGCTCTGCGAAAACACGTTCAGAGACAAAGAAATAGCTCGACCACACATTGCAGCGAGCATGGCACGAGGGCACTGTCCTAAGTCGAGGGCCAGATATGCCAGTCCACTCGAGGAGCCCTCCAGTCTCAAGTGCCCCCTATGCCTCGAGGTCTCCACCACCGTAGCCGATGTCTTCAAGCATTGCAGAGATCACCTTCAACCGCTTCTCGCACCCTCCTTCTACATCAGAGAGTTGCAGCAGGATGAGCGAGGCACCGCAGTCGTGGATAGCGCGCCCTGGTGCGCGAGCAGCAAGTGCGAGAAGCAGCATAGGAGGGGCGGGAGGCTCGGCGCCCAAGAAACACATGGCAGGGGCAGACGGGATGGGCGAGGACGAGGACGAGGTGGACAGCACGATGGCCACCACGCAGGCGCTGCTGATCCAGTTGGAAGGCCGAGTACGCACGCTCGAGAACGAAGCGCACCGCACATCGCTCATCGCCAAGAAAACGCCGATCGCGAAGGCCATCAGCGACAGCTTCCAGGCCTTCGCGCAGAAACGCAAGGAGGCGGCGGAGGGGGCAGACATAGGCACGCCAGCGTTCAAGTGCCTTTTCGGGGCTCTCGGCGCTACCTCGAGCTACGAGCACAAGGACGCCTCCCCCCGCCTCCAGAGCGTCTTGGCGGCGCTCAAGCGACTGCAGGCCATGTTGGAGCACGGCGCACCCCAAGACGCGGAGAAGTGGATCCTAGAGCTGATGGTGCTGACGACGTTCGACAAGCCAGGGAAGGAGAGCAAGGTCCGCATTATGCACAGTTTCCACGGAGAGGTGCTGCTCTCCAGGATCAGGCAGTGAACGAGACACTCCTGAAGGCGGTGAAAGAGAAGGACAGCGAGTTGCACAGCCTCAGCCCGACGGAGAAGCCGACGGAGATGTACAAGCTGCAGGGAACACTCGTGCCAGTCGAGACCCTCTTCGCGGAGGCGTTGAGGAGCATGGGCGGTCAGCTACTTGGAGGGCGGGCCCCAAGAGGCAACATGGTGAGGCAGCTTGGAGGTGGAGCTCGTGGACGTAAATGAGTCACTCACACAGTCGAGGCCCATGCCGCAGTTCCCCAACGACGGGGATAGTTGTTCCTCGGCAGGGACCAGAGCATACATTCCGTGTCTAGTATGGCGTCTACATCGATGGCGCAGTGAAGAATTGAGTGTGAGCCCACAGATGACAATGACACCTTCCTCCCCACCCCGATGTCAGATACTGGAAACCTCATCATCGATGGCGCGGCGGAGGAGCATTGCAAGGTGTGATTGACAGATGTGGCTGACTCGTTCGTGTTGTGTTGGGTCTGGCGGCGTGAGTGGCCTTTCGGCATCGTGCCGCACCCCCGCGCTGGCCCCAGTCTGCGGGCATCAGCCCTCGCAGGCATGCAAATCACCAGAGAGGGGTGGGAATGCACAGGTGTTTTCCCCCGACCCAGGATCATTTGTCCTTGAAGCTGTTTGTGGGATTTGCTCTGAATGGGCAGATAGAGAGAGAGAGAGAGAGAGAGAGAGAGAGAGAGCTCCTCCTCTTCCTCCTCCTCCTCCTCCTCCTCCTCCTCCTCCTCCTCCTCTTCCTCCTCCTCCTCCTCCTCCTCCTCCTCCTCCTCCTCCTCCTCCTCCTCCTCCTCCTCCTAGGCGGCTCCCTGCGCGGCCACCTTCGCCCCCCCGCAGCAATTTTGCCCACGGGGGCGCGGCGGCCCGCCTATGGGAGCCCTCAGCCCCAGGTGCTTCTTGCCTGGAGCGTCCCTGGCGAAGGGTGCTTGTGCCGCCTTGCCCCCATGCGGCGAGCGTGAACTCACGTCTCTAATCTATTTGGAGCCCACGCTGGCTGATTTTACAATGTGAAAGAGGTTCACGGATACCCATGATGAACAACCCAGAAATAATGTTTTGGAAGGACTCTGGAACATGAGGTTGCAGCTGTTACGCTGATTCGCGGTGTTGAAGTCCCAGGAATGGTGTTCTGGCACGAGTATCCAACGAGGCAGTTCCCTCAGTGGAAATGAACCGCTGTAGGGGCCTATGAAGAGGGAGCTTGGAGGAAGGGTTCATTCCAACAACGTTGATGACTCTTTGGTTTCCACTGGTCCTCCTCCTCCTCCTTCTCCTCCTCCTCCACCTCCTCATCTTCCCATTTCCTCCTCCTCCTCCTCCTCCTCCTCCTCATCCTCCTCCTCCTCCTCCTCCACCTCCTCATCTTCCCATCTCCTCCTCCTCCTCCTCCCCCTCCTCCTCCTCCTCCTCCTCCGCCTCCTCCTCCTCCTCCGCCTCCTCCTCCTCCAGCTTTCGGGCCCGCGCTCTGCGTCGCCGCGCGGGCCCAGTGCCCGCTCGCCCACGCGGCCGCACGGCCGGGCGACGACGCGGCCGCCCGCGGCCGCGCCAGGGCGGCGGAGGGGCAGCACGGCGGCACCCCCCGTCAGATGGCGGCCCACCACGTGGCCGACGTGCTGCGGGTGGTGCCCCGGGCAGGCGCGGCGGCGCCTGGGGCTCCGCGCGAGGGGCGCACGCCCGCCGGCAGGAGGTCGGGGCGGGCGCGGGGCCCCGAAGGCCGGGCACGCGCGCCCCGCGCGGGGCGCGCCGCGGCGCGGAGTGGCGCGCGCTTGCCCAGGCGCCCGGGGCAGTGGCCCCTCCAGGCGGCCCGGCCGGCCGCGGGGCATCCTCCCGGAGCGCTTCGCGCCTCGCACCGATGGCCTGCTGCTCCACAGCGGCCCCGTGGGCAGGAGCGGGGAGAGGATGAATGGGGTGAGGAGGAGGAGGAGGAGGAGGAGGAGGAGGAGGAGGAGGAGGAGGAGGAGGAGGAGGAGGAGGAGGAGGCGGAGGGGAGGAGGAGGAGGAGGAGGAGGAGGAGGAGAGGAGAGAGGAGGAGGAGAAGAGGAGGAGGAGGAGGAAGAGGAGAGGAGGAGGAGGAGGAGAAGAAGGGGTTGGAAGACGAGGTCGAAGGGAGGAGGAGGAGGAGAAGGAGGAGGAGTGGGAGCCAAGACTGGTGACGTACCGCGGGCGGCAACGGCGATCCAGGAACTCCGACGTCATGATTTTCTCGCAACGTGGTACAGCCTCGGAGGTCCAGGCAACAGTCCCGGGACTGGCGTTTCATCACGAATCGTTTTCTGACGGGTTCCGAGGCCCAGGAAGGGCCCCCAGAGGTCGGACACGGCCACTGTTTGTCCGCCGGTGGTTTTTCACGACGCCGACTCCTCACCTCTCGCGCTCCCGTTTCCGGAGCCGCCGGCCGGTCGGATCGGAAGGGTGGGCGCTTACCGAGGTGGCGCCCACTGCCGGCACCGAGGCGGAGATAGAAAAGGCCGGGCACCGCGCTCCCGACACGACGTCCGACGCACGCACTAGCCAGGTGCCGCTTACCGAGGTGGCGCCCACTGCCGGCACCGAGGCGGAGGTAGAAAAGGCCGGGCATCGTGCTCCCGACACGACGTCCGACGCCCCCCCCCCTCCTCCTCCTCCTCCCCCTCCTCCTCCTCCTCCTCCTCCTCCTCCTCCTCCTCCTCCTCCTCCTCCTCCTCCTCCTCCTCCTCCTCCGCTCCTCCTCTCCGCCCTCCTGCTCCGCCTCCCCCTCCGCCTCCTCCTCCGCCTCCTCCTCCGCCTCCTCCGCCTCCTCCTCCTCTCCTCTTCCTCTTCCTCCTCGACACGCAGGTTGTGTTAGAGTCTCGGGCCAGGGACGTGCTGGCAGTGGGAGGCGAGGACGCCCCTCTGGGGCCACGAAGGCTCGACGCCTCCCAGCCGCTTGCGGCCTGTCCTCCTCCTCCTCCTCCTCCGTCCTCCTCATCCTCCTCCTCCTCCCTCCTCTCCTCCTCCTCTTCCTGCTCTTCCTCCTCTTGTTCCCACCTCCTCCTCCTCCTCCTCTCCTCCTCTCCTCCTCCTCCTCCTCCTCCTCTCCTCTCCTCCTCACCTCCTCCTGCTCCTCCTCCTCCTCCTCCTCCTCCTCCTCCCCCTCGTCTTCCTTCCCCTGGTTCCCTGTTCCCTGCTCCCTCCCGTCCTCCGAGGGCAGGAGCTGGGTGTGCCCTCCGGCCTCGGCCGAAGCGGGGGAACGAAGAATGGCATGAGCATCAAAACTCCGAGGCCCGCGCGGGCTTCCCGCCTCGGATCGGCGCTGGGGCCCCCTGGCGGCGCCCCCGGCGCCGCCCTCGGCGCTCTCCGCGCGCTGGGGAGGGGGTCCAGCGCGGATCCAAGAAATCCGCGCGGACCTCCGAGTTTTTTTGGTTCCACGGGCTCGGCACGTGGTTGCCGTCTCCCTCCTCCTACATCTCCTCTGCACGCGGTGCTCGGGCAGAGCGCCAAGCACGCCGCGCCCCGACAGTTTCGCGTCGCGGCGGGGAGCACGACGGAGGGCTGCTGGCCAGATCGGCCTCGTGGGGGGGGGGGGGTGGCACTTCGCGAGCTCACTCGGGCCCCAGAACTGCCAAACAACGACGCGGGACGCTGGTCCCCAGGAAGGGGAAGGGGTCTAGACCTTTAGAGCAGCTGCGCACGGTATACGACAGTCACAGCGTCGGACGCCTGAGCTCGTGGAGGCAGGCACGAGCGAGAGATCACTGAGGCGCGAAGCGTGTCGAGGAGGCCTTGGTCGTCGAGGGCTCTCGAAGGGGTGGTCTCTCTCTCGCGCAGGGGCGGAGCGGCTGGGGGAGCGGAGCGCGGCTGAGGGCGGCTCCCCCGGCGCAAGGTCGGCCGAAGCCGGCAGAAGCAAGACATCGGCGTCACCCCAACATACTTGTACTATCTGTTCGTCGCCCCCCCAGGGGCGGCGCGTGCACCGAGAAATGTTATAGTACATACGTCGTGGCGGGCGCTTTCTGGCCACACCGCTCGGGAAACGATATACTACAAGATGGGTACACTACTATATGTTCGGCTTGGACGCGCGCCTCCAAGGAAGACGTATAGTATTAGTACGTCTCTGTGCGTCCCAAAACAAGCAGCCCCCGAGAGAGGAGGACAGATCAGCGTATCTCAAGCAGAGGCGAAGCGTCCTGGCTCGCCTATAGGCCCAGCATGTCCTAAGAACCTTTTGTGGTCTGCACGAGATCTTCTTAGAACACGACTGGCCGATATTGCCTTGTTTAAGCATGTCGGTCTCATGTTCTAAAGAACACTGCTGCTGTTGTTATGGGCACAGGTTTGAGAGTTCCAAGAACCTCTCGTAATAGGCCTGCAGGAATGCCGGCCGGGACGGTCGGCCCCTATGGTCAGCATTCGCCGCCCCGCCCAGGAAGGCGCGGATTCACCATCGGGGGCCTATCGATGAGGTATCGCTGATCCCAGGTCGAGGCATCCCCCCCCGATGCCTATCCCCCCCCCTATCGTTGCCCCTCTGGCAGCCTCGGGCCGAGGCGCCGCCGGCGTCGGGCACGCCCGCGCGCGGGGCGGCGGCGCTTCCTCGGGCCTCCTCGGGGGTCCTCTCGAGGGCCCTGCGCGGCCCAGGGCCGCTCGGGCCAGGGCCATCCCCCCCCCTCTGCGCCACGGATCCTCGAAGAGGCGCCACCGAGACGGGTGCCCAGTGGCGGATGCTGTGCCCAGGGCCCTTTTTTAGTTTTTGATTCGGCGTGCTGGAAGCCATGCTTTTTGCGGCTCCGCGTCGAACTCTTCGACGTGTGAGCGTCCCTTCTTCCTCTCGGCCGTCCCCCCCCCTCTTTGCCCGCCGTCCAATTCGCTAGATAGTGCCCCTGTCTAGCTTCTCGCTGGAGCGGAGTTCGCCGCCTCGCCGCTGACGAACAAAAAGTTGGAAACATAAACCATTTGCTTAGCGCTTTCAGGTCCCAGCTGGAAAACTAAGACGTTCAAGACACCTAATCACTTGTTTTGCGTTTGTAGTTACACTTTTTACCTAACAGCTTGTTCTGATAGGTTTCTAGTAGGGTCAAAAGAGAGCAGCAGATGACTCCACAGGGGGGCCTGGGCGGGTGCCGGACAGGGTGCCGCAGAAGTCGTTTTAAGCAAACAGTCACACACTTCGTGCTCTTCGACCTCCCAGAACTCCATTCCCGGGCCACATTCTGAATGCCCGGAGCCAACTGTAGGGGGATTCGTGCTCTTCGAGTTCCCAGAACTCCATTCCCGGGCCACATTCTGGAGGGCCGGATGCAACAGTCACACACTTCGTGCTCTTCGAGTTCCCAGAATTCCATTCCCGGGCCACATTTTTGATGCCCGGAGCCAACTGTAGGCCACTTCGTGCTCTTCGAGTTCCCAGAACTCCATTCCCGGGCCACATTTTGAATGCCCGGAGCCAACTGTAGGCCACTTCGTGCTCTTCGAGTTCCCAGGACTCCATTCCCGGGCCACATTTTGAATGCCCGGAGCCAACTGTAGGCCACTTCGTGGTCTTCGAGTTCCCAGAACTCTATTCCTGGGCATGATTTTGAATGCCCGGAGCCAACTGCAGGCCACTTCGTGTTCTTCGAGTTCCCAGAACTCTATTCCCGGGCCACATTTTGAATGCTGATGCAGGCTGAGGCTGAGGCTGAGGCAGGCTGAGGCTGAGGCAGGCTGAGGCTGAGGCTGAGGCTCATGCAGGCTGAGGCTGAGGCAGGCGGAGGCTGAGGCCGAGGCTGAAGGCATACTGAGGCTGAGGCTGAAGCAGGCTGAGGCTGAGGCTGAGGCAGGCTGAGGCTGAGGCAGGCTGAGGCTGAGGCTGAGGCAGGCTGAGGCTGAGGCTGTGTCTGTGACTGCCGTTGCCGCTGCGACTGTCATCGCGAATGCGACTACGACTGCGAGAACAGCACAATTCTACAACTGGATTCTCATTTGAATCTTAAGGGGAATGCTTCCAGATATGCTCCTACACATCGCTGTTAGGTTGCTTTGCCGGGATAATTACCTAACAGCGTTTGCTGATAGGTTTCTGGTAGGGTCAAAAGAGAGCAGCAGATGACTCCACAGGGGGGCCTGGGCGGGTGCCGGACAGGGTGCCGCAGAAGTCGTTTTAAGCCAACAGTCACACACTTCGTGTTCTTCGACCTCCCAGAACTCCATTCCCGGGCCACATTCTGAATGCCCGGAGCCAACTGTAGGCCACTTCGTGCTCTTCGACTTCCCAGAACTCCATTCCCGGGCCACATTTTGGATGCCGGAGCCAACTGTAGGCCACTTCGTGCTCTTCGACTTCCCAGAACTCCATTCCTGGGCCACATTTTGGATGCCCGGAGCCAACTGTAGGCCACTTCGTGTTCTT